AGCTGAGGGAAGATGCTGGTGATGGAAGCAATGCTTGAAGTTTTTTATCTTCCAAATTATGTGGCAGGAAAAATTAAATTCCTGAATTGTTTGTGAAAGCTGAGATCTCCTTGATTTTAACAGGTTGTAATAATTTTTATTAAACTGATTGGTGAGATAATTTTTGCCTTTCCACAGACTGAAAACAGTTGTTACTACTGGTTATACCTGAAATGGAAATAAGGTCCATGCTTCATGTTATTTAAGATTATGCTTTTTCCAGGTTGACAAATCTGATATTTTTTACTATCTTAACTGTGTGTTTTCGGGGGGGATGAGGGTGTGGAATTCTCAGTGCAGTAAGTTGTTTTTTCCAGAAACATTAGTCTGTCATATTTTTCTAGCATTTATAGTTATTTTACACTTTCATATCTGAGCATTATTTTCAAAGACAATCTGCTATACTTGGTATTACAGATGATAATTCCGCTACGCTGTGGTAGTTTACGTAGTAATGGAAGATTTTCTAAGAGGACATTTTACAAACAGAACATTGTGGAGTCAAACCCAAGACAGGCGTTTTTCTGATAAATCATAGCCACTGCTGACTGGAATGGATTTTAAGTATTCTTCTGGTACCTGATGTGGCAATAGTGAAACCAAGGCCCTCTGAAGCTGACAATGTCTGTGTAGTAAGTGCTAGGCACTGTGAAAGGACTGAAGATTCATTTGCAGGAATGGTTTGTTTGCCACTGATATTGCTGAATTCATGATAGAGATGAAGAATTTCTTGCATTTGTTCTGTCTTTCCTATAAACATCTGAATTTTGATCTGTTTTCATGTGAAAATTGCCATATTGATAGGTGGTTCCTGAATTTTCCAGATGAGACACTGAAACGTGAATGTTGACTTTGTATGAAGCTTGGGAGTGTATTCTTGTACTCGTGCTGAAAACTGAGTGTAAAGAAAAATAGCAGTAAAAAGCCCCATACATACTGCTTTTAAGCTTTACAGTCTCTTCCAGTCTTCAGATCCTTCTTTATCTCTATTGCTGGTTTCTGATGCTGTACCCTTGTCCTGGGGATGCAGGTGCAGAATGCCCTTTCAGCTGGCTGTGCTGTTCCACATCTCTCTCTTCTGGCCTCTGCCTGGCACTGTCAGGCTCCCCCCCGCCCCCGTCTCACCCTGCAGATGCTCTGCCAGCCCTGGAGTTCCTGACTGGAGGATGGGATCGGAAAGTTACACGGTGCGGGGTAGGGTGCAAGAATCTGTTGAGCAGATTTGAGCATTGCAGTTTAAAATACTGTTTGCACATATGTTCACAGAAAAGGTAATTAAAATATGGTTGTGATTATAAGACAGAGATCCCTCGTATCGTGTCGTAGTGTGTTGCACATAGACTGCTTCTTGTTGATTTCTTGATTGCTTTTTTCTTTTGATAGTTAATACTACTATCTGAGGCTAGAGAAGATAAACTGGTCACTTTAAAGGCAAGCACCAGCCAACTTCATTGCAATTGTGTCATGATCCAAGAGCAGGCCTTGGTTTACATCATTTTTATACCATGACGCTTTGGGACTAAGTATTCCTGGACTTGCTGAAATACTGGAGTGCTGCCCAACGTGCCAGGCTTGGCCACTGTGTTAGTTTTCTTAATGAAAAAACAACTGCTAAAATTTGTTTCCAAGTGAGAGTCTGCCTGAGTGGCATGGCATTTGGGGTTGGGGGGGGTGTTTAATATGTACATCTACAAACTTTTTAAATATGGGCAATTGAGTGAAAAAGCCTGTAAGTTGGTTATAATTACACAATATTGATTTTATTAAGTTTTTGACATATTTTTGTTGCTTGTGAGGACTTGCCTGGCTGTTGGAAGAATATGTACAAGTGTGCATTTTCCAACCAAGATAACACTTCCTTTGTTATTTTTACGGAAAACTTGATGTTTTTATAGTAAGAAATGTTATCGTTTGTTAAATACAACTGAGGATAGTGTAGGGGAGTCAATTCAAAGTAGACTTTAAGCCTTTTTAGGCTTTCTGAAAAAGGCTAAGTATCACAAAATTTGACAAAAGACAGTAGATGACATGTCCAGTCGATAACTACAAAGTAGTTATCAGTAAAAGTAGTATTTCAGTTAAAAGAGTGACATCTGATTTATTTTTTTCACCTACTAAGGGGATATGTGCTCAGGTTTTAGCAGAGCACAAATCATGTGATTGAAAGTGCAGCTTTACTACCCTGAGAGTCAAAGCTCTGTTATTTTGTGTTTTGCTAATTACCTAAGACTTCGCTTACTATATAACGCTTTGCTTTTAACACTTTACTGGAGATGCATCACGTCATGTAAACAAAGATTTGTGTGACTGACTGATGTCCAGACATGGATGAATGTCTGCAGATCATCTGCTAAAACTCAGCTTCCTGGTATCCAGTACTGAATTTTGAACCAAGTTTTCCAAGTATGATTTTTCTTATGTTTTCATATAGCTGAAGCTCACTGTGGGGTTACTGGTCTGTCTTTGCGGCATTTTTTTGTGACTGAAGACAGTAATTTGCAACCATATTGTCTTGAAGACCAAGTCTGCAAACGGCACAATTTTTACAGGACCTACAGCAAAATAATGAGGTAATACAGACAGTCTGTAGCACTTGTTTTAAAATGCCCCACGTTTGTCACGGTAAATAACAGTGGAAGAAAACTGCTGTTACGAGTACGCACAGTGAAGACTGGTCTGGTCCTTTGCAGGCTAATCCTGTAAGTCTATACATACGGATAGACTTCCCCTTCGGCGAGCTAAGTCACTTGTGCGATTCTGCCAAACTACGGCAAAAAGTGCTGGTCCAAATAAATGACTCTGCTTTTTATGTAATGCTGCTTACTAAAATGAAAGTTTAATTGCATCATTAGTAAGAGCTGCTGACACTAACTGCTTCTACTAATAAAATGGACCTTAGTGACTCTTAACATTCTTTTTTTTTTTTTTTCTGAAGAAGGCAAGCCAGGTTTAAAACTGAAGGAAAGAAATGGTATCTCTTTTTAACTGTTGTAAGTGAATCTGTTTTGGGGATGTAAACAAGATGCAAGAGGGGAGAGAAGCTGCTGCTGAACTGCAGTTTTCCACCCTTTGCACCCACTGTGCAATTAAATTGTGAAGTTCATGGCTTTTCTCTCACAGTGCAGATTTCAGTTGCAGGAACCTTCATGTTTCTATAAAATGCAAATCCTAATCAATATTCATGTAACAAGATCTTTAAATATCAGTTTAAAGCAACAGCTTTAGTTACTAATTAAGCCCTGTCCAGTTTTCCCCAGCAGCTATCAGACTGCCACTTGGTATGATTCTTGATTATCCCACCCCTTTTAAGCATGTTTGGGAATAAGTATAGAGGGATTTTCTTTTTTTTTTTTTTTTTAAATAATCCATTTCTCTGATCCTAATAGTGGCTCAGTGGTTAATTCCTCCTTTACACTTCTATGAAAATCCCAATCTGCAAGCTTGCTGGGATTCCCTTTTGGATTTCTCCCCCATTCAGACTTTGTTGTGATGATCATTCCTCTTGGGACTTCATTGGCCAGAGACTGCTGTGATGTGAAAAGATGCCAGTTATGCTTCTGCTGTGCCTGGCACGTGAAGACTGCATGTCTTGTTGGTTAATCTACTTGCCTGTTTCAGTGAGCCAGAAAAGGTTCCTGCCTATGTGGTAATTTGGTGGAAATAATGTGTAAAAGGAGTTGTGAATTTCACTTCCCATGTGCATTGAAGTCTTTCATGTATATGCTGGGATCTTGTACAAGAGTTAAATGCATCACTACAGTATTTTGGCTGAAGTGTGAAATACTGTGAATGAAGAAATTGCCAAAATCATTCCTGGTAGCGTACAGCATATTGCTTGCATTCAGCATATTGCTTGCCTGTACCTTTAAATTACAGGAATTACTCTTAGCAGTGAGCTTCAGTTGGATAGTACAGTATATCGAAATACGAAATCTTAATGATAACATGAGACGGCTCACTAAAATTCTGAAGACTGTACATGATTTTGTTCTGGAATGCTAATATTAGTAGCTTAGCCATGACTTGTCCCAAGTGCAATATTAGAAATTTTTAATGTAATCTTTTCTACTTGAATACAGTCTATATAAAATGTTAAATGTCCTATATTGCTGAAAAGATACGGGATCAAATTTATTTCCAATAAATCTTCAGTTAAAAAAAACCCAAGCATACAGGTCTGCTTTGTTGTCACACATAGTGTGAAGAGTAGTTGAAATAGCAACCACCATCATCCATCCCTTAGCTGATTTTAAAGAGAATTCTTGCAGTCTGTTTTCTGAGAATTGACTTGAGGTTAACTGTGGTTGCTGCAGTTTGAGTCCAGCACTTCATAAATGCTAGTATTAACATATGAAGAAATATAGTTCTGTTTTAAGTTGCAGCCTTCTGACATAAGAAATTCTGTGCAGCTTCACCAAGTGTCCAAAGGGTGAGTTCTCGTCTGTCTTGGTTTAGACATAAAGAACATTTTCACCTGTCTGTATTCACTCTCCCAAGTGTAAAGATGCATACAGACCTAAGAAGTTTTGCACACTAATGGTTTCTGTTGGTGAGAGATCTACTGAGTTTCTGGAAAGTTGAAAAGCAAAATTTAACATCTAAAATGCATTTACAACGTATGCAGTAGGCTTGGTTTTAATGTAGTACAGCAAAAGAGATGCTAGACAGGTAGCTGGTACACTTCTTCAGTTCTCTACTTGCAATTCTTAGTCATCAACCTAAGACTGATGTAGATGTCAATGAACTGAATTAGACAAAGGGTTTTTAAGGTTTAAAGGTTTCTGGAGGTGTCTATATTTTAGAAGTTGATGTTAGCAGGTGCAGCTTGTAGCCTCAGGTAAAAGCAGGGCCATGTTCCTACAATGTTGTCTTTTTGAAGCAATATACAATCTAACTTCACTTAGGCAAGCTCTGAATATTCACAGGAATAACTTCATGCTGTCATGAAATTAAAGATGCAATAAAAATTTCAATGCCCCATTTTTATTTAAGTGGTCCTTTGAAATGCATTATTTTCAAAACTGGAACTATCTACAGAAAAAAGCTTAAGCATTTCTAATTCCAGAGGATGCATAGTGCCTGTAACAATCAAGGAATGTAATGGACCACCTAATTCCACTGTGGACATCTGATATAGTGTGCCTGAAGCAATCTTCTGATCCAGAGCACCCACGCGTGCGAGGCCAACACAAATTGTGTTTTCAGTGATTTCTGTAAGAAAGAAGATTAAATGCTTAATTATTGACTAATGGTCCTATCATAAAGCAAAAATTACTCAAAATGCTTAAACCTTAACACTGCTTTAAGTCTCCAATTAATAAATCTTGTTCTTCCAAGAAAATAAAGCTGTATCTTAGGGATGTTTGTAAGCAAGAATGGGAAGGCAGCAGAAGTAGAATACAAAATTTATTCAAGAATTGTGTTCACTTTGAGGAAATGGCTGCTTCTGATTCATTCTATATAAAGGATAAAATGAAAGTATTTTAATTTTAACAATATTTAAAGAATAAACTTTTAAAAGGAGGAATATAGCTAGATGGATTTCTATTTTAAAAAATTTCTGTGACACAACCGAATCATCTTTATAGTTGCTGTGATTTCACCCTTGGTCTCAATAAACATCTTTGACAGTTTGCTCAACTACTGTTAAGAACTCAAGGTCAAAATCATAGTTCTGCATTGTCAGCTTAACGTAGATTCATGCTGGTATTCACTACGAGCAGGGTGTGACCAGTCTAAATAAAAGATAGCAGAGATTTTTGAAGCTCGACTGATCTAAAACATGCAGAATCCTTCTGCCTCCTACAACTCTCAACAGATCAAAGAGCTCACAGTTAAAGATGAATAGAAGCAGTACAGGGTTACCAAGCTGAGGCTTTCATTAAACCCTCAGGAGCTTCTAGTGCTTGTTCATCTGTGCTGAGTGAACTACACTATGTTCAAGCTCTGCCAAATCTGTCTCATGACTAGAATTTAAGGCAGCCCAATTCCACTGCAGATCGAGAGAATTCTAAAATTTAAGAGGAGGGGAGTAGAGTTCAGAGGCTCATCAATAAGAGTAGTAGCAGATAGAAACATTGCACTAATAGTACCTGGTTCTTCTCCTTGGAGCCTCCTGTTCTGAATAATGGCAAGAAGCTGTTCAGCAGCTTGATTCACGCTCATGTAGCGTGGTGGCTCATAAATCTTTCTTCCTCTACAGGGAAAGGAGAAATTTCACATACAACCTATCTCATTACTGCTAGTGTTCTTACAGTTTATTTCAAGAAACCTCTAGACCTGCAAATTGAACTTGAACAGGCCCAGGCTGTCAGGCTGGGCCTTTTAGACAACTAGACAAGAGTGGAATTTTTAAGGAAGACAGAAGTCTCTTGTGCTCTCAACCACACCTGCGAAACAGCAGGGCCTCCAGCTGGCAGATTGTTTGAGTCCTAAAAGCAAACTCAGCTGCTGGAAGCAATATGCAGGTTTTGCAGCTACTCCTGAGAGATGCATTAGACTCAAATTCAAGGGCAAACTACTGTTTTTCTGTCAAATACCTGGTAGACACATGATTACAGACTAGAAATAGATTCTTAAATGAAATGCAGCTTGCTTTGCCAACTGTGGATTCAGCCAAAGAACTTTCATTTTGAAACTGCAGAATAAACAAACCTCAATGATACTGTGAGACTTCGCAAATGTTAATTTAGACCAGTTACAGCATGCGCATAAAGTAACCGTTTATATTTGCCACTGTCAAAACACACGGATTGCAGAGCGATGATTTAACATGTGGCAAGAGCTTTTTTGAATAGTTAAATGAACTTAAGAGCATTTTCTGTATGTTGCTTATTTAGTTGTTTAAAAAGGGCAGTATGTATTCAGTACTTCACACTGTTTCTAGTGAGTGTAAGGAAGAATGAATTCAAAACACTGTTTGACCTATTAATCTATTTCAGGATGGGACAGAACAGTAGTAAATTAACACTTCGTTTGCCAAGCAGAAGCTTACCCCATTCTGACTTAATGCTTTTCACAGAAACAGTTAAAAAAAAGATTATGCTCTGTTGAAACTTCATTCAGTTACTATAAATAAAGCCAGGTCCTATTGTAATGAAGAAAAAAGTTCCACTCCTTGTAAGAAACAAAAGACCGTGGCTACTGAGAAGGACAAGAGGAGAAGGCAGGTAAGAGCAGTATTCGACTATGGGCAAAGCACCTTTGTTCACTGCAAAAAAAATCCCCTTTGTAAATATGCTGTATGTTTCTCTATGTTTTCAAAATGGTGACTCACTTCATTAGATTCTCCAGAGACTGCTCCTTCACTTTAATATCTGTAGAACAAAACAGATATTAGAACACAGGTTCCCTACAACCTTCCCACTTAGTTTTCTATGTAAGTAAAGCTTAATTTAATTAGCAGATTCTATAAACTTTATAACATTTCAGCTATTACAGGAAAAAGGAATATGGATTACATTCTGCTGTTTCATATGTTAATTAATTACAAAGTATTGTGATTTTATGCATGTGATTTTACCCAAAGATAGGGCAAGTTTCACAGATTTCAAAGCAACACAGATGAATAAAAATACTGCTACCTATACAAATAGCAGGCATATTTACCATAGGATAGCTAAATGCCAGCACGTTTAAGCACACCAGGGTATTGGGACTACTCTTAAATTATGAGTAGTTTGTGGTCACAAAAGGTAAAACAGTATGACTGATTGACAGTGATTACATCACTGCCATGCTGGAACCTGACTTTCGTTAGCACTTCCTTCCTCTTCCAGTGAAAATTTAGATCAATCTTCTGTTATGGGAAAAAAAAAAAAAAAAGATTTGGGCAAAAATAAAATAGAAAAGAGGTCAGGTAAGACTCTGCACATCTGCAATTTTACGAAACTCTAATTGATCACAATCTCTCTGAAGAGGCAATTGAATGTTATCTGTATTCAAATGACCTCCAAATATTATCACAGTGAAAGCTGGACACATTTTTAATCTTGATTTTTTAAAAAAAATATTGCTTAAGTTACACAGTCAACTCCTAAACCAAAGTGACTCTGAAGAAAGGGGTTTAAAATGCAGAGCTGCAAGATTATTAGTGCACAGTTTACCAAATTGCTTGTATGTCCATGAAGTCACTTTGAATTCAGAAGTTTATCAGCATAGATTTTTTTATGTCACATTTGCTTATCTGGTAATCTAGTCTAGCTGGGTAAACAATCAATATATAGTCCAGAATGAACAAGTAGTATTAAGGGAATAATTAATTTGGAAATTGGTAGTTTTCAGCTGTAATTAAATGCAGGTACCACAACTGTGCCTGAAACATGAGATTTGTAATTCAATTTTATGGTTTCAAAATTTTTACTCTCTCACTACTGTATAAAAAAAAATCAAAAAGGAGATCTTAGAAATGATTATACAAAATATCTAAAGAATACTTTGTTTTAACATATTATAGTTGTAATAATCCTTGTTTAAAACATTTGTGAAGTCATCCTCTTTTAAAACAAATCACCAGAATTCTGACTATCAGTCAATTTTGAAAACAAATAACTTTCAAGGCATTGGTAAGTCTGATGTGCAGTGATGCTTACACATTTAAATTGTTTCCTGCTCAGGACCCTCCACTTACTATAGACTTTGTTTTTGTTTTAAAATACTTATTTTTTTAGCACTGAGAGATCCCAGCTGTGTCTAAAAGATGCTACAGAAAGGTATATAACTATATATACAAATATATAAGTGCCTTATCGTTTATACACAGGCAGTTCTATAATCTTTAAGGAGTTACCTAGACTAGCAGAGTTATTTTAGCTGAGGATTGTTGGGTAGGATAAAGATTACACAGCACCATGGGAGAGCTGGGGACAGTGGTCTGCTGGAAGCAGCGTTCTGTTTCAGCTCCATGATCAGCAAGGAATTTTCTACAGCACTGAAGCTTCTCACGTGACAATCACCTTTTGCCAAAACATCCTTACATAAGATAATTTAGGAAGAAGACTTACAACACAGAAATGTGGTTAAATGTACAATTTAGCTCCCCAGAAAGTCAAATGTGTTGAGCTCTAACCTAATTAAGTCGATACGAGATAACTGCTGTTCACTGCAATCTGATTTACATCCTGAGCTAGATCTAGCTTAAAATCACAGGGATATTTAGAGCAAATATGGGCCTCCTGCTCCTATCTGACTTCTACAAAGGCATCACTTCTTATGGAGTTTCAGGAGAGGAATTAAGAAATTCCTGGCCACTGTAGCACGAACAATGGCTGAACTGATTCTAAGTACACATATGCTAACGTTCCACTGCTGGGTACATTTTCAAAGATACATGTTAGCTAAGAACATTTGTTTACTCACAGACTTCATCTCATGCCTGTCACTATCCTCTCTGGACGACACGTAAGATGCTAGCTAAGGCACCGGGGTAGCTGCTGCTTACCAAGTAAGCACAGTGTGTGCATTCCGTTCTGCCTGTTCTTCTCAATCTTGTCAAAAAAGCTTTCTGGCTTCCATGTGTCTGTCCAGAAAACTATAGAAACTGTCTCTCCAAAATTGTACAACTGTGAAACAAAGCAAATGCAGTAACACACATCATACACAATAAGAAAAAACAGCACCCAGTAAAACACTATGAAAACCATGAACAATTGGCAACACTGATAAGTCCTGAGCCTAGTTAAGAAAGAGGTTTCATACCACAAGGAGAGTGCTCTACTTGAACATGCTTAAGTTTGCTCTTTCATAGATACATAATAAAACATTACATTAAAAAAAATGCTTCCTTTTAAAAAAGCTGCCCTGTGCTTCTCTATCTTGACTCATTTTAGTGCATTCCTTTGCGTTTTCTCCTTTCTTTTTAACAAAATCTGTAATTAGTGACCTGCTTTTTCTTCTTCATAATAGAGATGTTCTGTTGTTCTTTTACTCTCCAAACAGTATGTTAAAGAACGACTGATGAACTACCTATAAAGTTTTGACCTATCTCTGCATTCCTTCTGTTCTTTGTTACTTAATTATGAAGGACTTTTTAAATGCAAAAACTTTAGCACAAAATTAGTACTTACTATTTCTTATTTTGGTTAAGGCTAGGCAACTTCTAATAATGACATAATACTTACAATGTTTTGATTCTACTGTTACAGCAGTATTTGTTTTAAAACAACACTTTCCTGCAAACGAAATCTGTATCATGCAAAAGAAGTCACAGTCTAAAGAGACAGCGGATATGAAGATCGGAAGACAGAGACAGATTGTCCATGAAGCAGACAGGTGCAACATTTTTTATGCACATATGGTAGGAACATTGCTATCAGATTTTATGTCAAACATACTGATTTTATTCTCAATCTTAATGCTCTTTATCACTAAGTCTCTAATCTCAGTGAAGACATTTGAAGCAATAGTCTTGCCAATCATTTCCAGTGATGCAAAAGCGATAGTCCTATGTAACCTAAGGCAGGATTTAGCTGGGAAGTTTTTGTAACCAACTTGAAAAAGGGCAAAACCATGCATCAATTTTGGTCAATTCAGCTCTGGAATGGAGCCATCCCAAATGGATTATACAGCTTGCCAATATTCTGTCTGCTCAAGCCCACCAGAAAAAAGGGGCTATACAGACTAACCTTCCCACTTTCTCTGTAAACCTGGAAGGAAAAAGTGCTTTTCCAAGCCCACTACAGAAGACACTGTGTGTGCTGTTAGCAGAGAAGAGGACCCTATGCAGAAGTGGCTCTGGCAGCTCTGTGCCAGCTGGGGATGCCCTCATACACGCGTATTTTACTATTGCAGTTTTAACTCCTTACGTTGGCAGAGCAGAATTTGAATCAAAACAGAAACATTTGTCTTCCAAGGGACCAAAAGCTCAAATTTTAACCATTCATTCTGATAGGAACAGCGTTTATTCAAAGATTCCTGGAATATTACTGAAAACATTTCCTCTTTTAAATATTTCATTCTAGCACAAGGACAAGAACACACAGTGTACATTTCACAACCTAAAGGTTCTTCCAGTAAAGTAAATATAGGTTGAACCAAATGAATTGCTCCTGATGTAACTCGTTAACTATTTCAAGGCTGTGTTCTAGAAACAGAAAAAAAAAACCCAAGCTATGTTTTGCCTGGTTTTCATGTGGCTAGCTAGAACTCTTTCCATTTTGTACAAATCTGAAAAAGAACTATTGGAACAAGGAGTTTGTCTTTCTCGCCTTCAGTGTTAGAGCATCTGGAAGCAAGTTACCCTTTAATCTCATAGGTAGTATTCCTTCAGTCATCAACAACTGCTGAAATGTCCGGTACCAACCTAACTGACTGGCTTACCATCTGTCATCTGAAAGCCACTGCAGTCATTTCCCAAAGAGCAGCAGCCTTCTTTCAGTAACAGAAAGTGGCCTCAATTAACCTCAAATCTTATCCCAGTCCCTATGGCATTTTGATAACCTGAAGAGAAACTTCCACCTCTGCCTTTTAGCAAAGAAATGGAAGTGCAGAAATGGGCAAAATGTTACTATCTGGTATTTTGTTGGGAATCAGATCCTTTAAAGCACTCTGTCATATATTTAAAACAAATTGGACATTCAACTTTATATCCTACAGCACTTGCTCTGATCATCATTTTTCTCTTTTCCATTGATCATTACAAAGATTCTCCATTGTGTCTGCCAACAAGAAGTTAAGCAAGTTATCCTTTTTGTGCAAGCACTGCTAGTCAGATTGACTGAATTTATCCTTTGTTTACCAGGTTTTGCATTAAAACTGAAGTCTGAATGTCGAAGAATAAAACATTTTTGTCAGAAATAGTGTGTCTATTCAGTAGAAATAACTTCAGAACATCTTCAAGCAGTATTGATATAGAAAACTGTACTTATCGTCTCAAAAAAATACACTGGTTTTCTCAGCACCTGGACAGCACAGAAGTAGCTTCTACACCAACAAGATGGAATGGGGCATATTTTATTAACCTCCTAGAAATGCTTTTGCAACTTAAACCCCTCTACTAACTCAATGTCCAAAGAATAGATTTTCTAGCATTAATGCATACATCTTTTTACTTTAAATTAAAGAGAGGAAAATACGACTTTGGAATCTTTCTAGTATATCAACAGTCTGAATGCTGTGAAACGGAGGCAATAAACGATACCCCTATTGTGCTTGACTACTTGTAACCAATTACCTTACTAGAACTTCTACAGATACGAACAAATATGTCTTTCTCATCCAACATTTGATCTCTGCAGATGTGTGACATTTATTCAAACACAGCCACTGCTCTTCCACCAGAGCAAGCCTGCATTAAAGAAGCAACATTTAACTGTATCAGAATTACATTTTTAACTCTCTCCCTCATGTACCTCATGCACATTCAATTTGTTCCTAATACAATTTCCTGTGCTATGTTCTAATTTCTACCTCTTGAAATCTAGCATGAAGTACCAGACTTTCAAATGAAGCTTGCTGCAGAGAGAGCAATAAATACCAGAAATTCCACTACTATCCTAAGGATTCAGTGGTTACAGAGAACAGCAGGTATACTAGAGCCAGAGCCCACTGCAATGAAAAACGATTCTTTCCACCAACCTTAAAAGACTGAATAGGGCCCCGAACCCCGAAATTCCAGAAATCGTGCTTGTCATTGGAATAAAACTGACACATTTGTTAACCAAGGTGTATTACAACATAAGTAAGGATTAATGTCATGCTTTGAGATTGTTAAGAAGTTGGTTTGTAATAAGACAGAGAAGATCTCTGTATATTGTCAGTGAAACAATCATGCTGTCTGGTTGCTTGCACAGTTTTAAAGAGAGGCAACGGCGACTGAAGATTCACAGTGGTCTTCTGTGTGCTGCACTCCACATTAAGGAGCTGGTGTTTAGGAGCAAGCAAGATCTGTTCTGTACAAGCTAAAACATCTCAAGCATCACACTTGCACTAATCATCAGATTACATTCTGCTCAGGCACAAAAGTGCCAGAATTTCGAAGAGGCTCAATGAAATGGTTGGACAGACATTTCAGGCTCTCAGCTTGGAAACCCACCTTCTTACCTTCTCCCTCAAAAACTTCACAAAAAAAATTTCAAAAGGTCATTTTGAAAGACCTCAGTCTTTGGAAATACACCCACCCTCTCCCCTGCTCAAGTAGTAGTTGGTTTAAGTAAAGCTTTGTGCACTTAAATTTTGCAATGCAATAGCTGAAGTCAGGAAAGGAAGCCAGAACCCTCTTCTCCGAGGCAATGCTCTGTCTGCTCTGAGTCTTCTGCCTCACAAAATACTGCAGCAAGCTGTTCTTCAATTCACGATTTCATCATCTCAGAACAAGCTGTAACTTCCTATTTTATTTACACACATAATATGAAAGAATGTCTGACAACTTTTGGTATTGAGAGGCTTGTTTTCAGATAGTATTTTTAACCCTTCTATTAATTATATTTCTTATTTTACTTGTTCTTTATGTAAGCAGAAATGATTGCTAATTGAGAGGCCAGAATAAACTATGAGAGAAAAAGTGCTGTACAATGACCTCAGCTTGGAAAGCCTGCATGCAAGTGAAATTTCAATGAAACTACTGAGCAACTTCTTTAATGGCCAGTCTGAATGACATTAGACACCTGAAGCTGTCCAGATCAACAGTCCTCACTTAAAATACTGGTGTGGCTAATCACCACAAAAATACAGGCCATAAAAAGAAGGAACAAGCTGAGACTAAATAGGGAAATTAAATAAGCAAGATCCCTCAACCCTTCTAAAAAGTACTAAAACAAGCAAGAGAGAAGATGCGAGATAATATTGAAGGTCAGTAGGGCAACAGCTGCAGAGAAACCAAGAAGTAAACATTTCAAAACGTAGATAGTTATTTTTACAGCATCTTTCCCAGAATTATTGCTGTATCAGCTGCAATGGTGACAAAGCACTTTTTCACTTAGGAGCCTACCTCCTCTCTTAAAATTTCAAACAGCTTCAGAACTGGATACATGTCAGGGGAAGAAGGTGAAAAGGAATCTTACCATTACATTTTTCAGACCTGGCACCTGTATACACATGCAAATACTTGTAAACCCTGCAGGACTGAAACGCTACTCAGCTGTGTTTCGTGTTGAGATGGTCACAGGTTACACTGCAGATAGTTCTCACAGGCCAGGTGTGTTCTGCAAATGAAGGTACTGCACAGCCTGATCACATCCCACTGACAAACACCAAGAGGCTTTTTCTCCTAAGGTTATTCCTCAATGGAATTTGGAGACTGTAATACAATAACCTCACATTATGCCAGGTTGCATCTTGATAAAACCCAATGAACATACACAGAAAAGCTGAGACGTTCTTTTTATCCTTGTCATAAGAGTTTTGACACGATGCTATGCAATATTCATCCTCAAAAAAAGGAACTTAACAAGTCAGATTTTTCCGCTTATCCTCTGTAACCAGTTAACAACTCTCCAGACCATATACATCAGATTAAAGGGCTCCTACTGTTCCTTATATTACATATCGTTGACAGAGAACAGCTTAGGAAGTAGGACAATCATCAAGAAAGAGGTACCAAGAATCAGTCAGGCTTCATTTTTGC